TTTTTTTAAAAAAAAACTTTTTAAAGTTTATTGGGAGCCAAATATGAGCACAGACCTTGGAAACACCATCCAACAGAGTCAGAGAAGTGCCCCAAAGTCTATTACAAATAACAAAGGCTTTACAGACAGAAAAGGCTGAAGAAAGCAGAATCAAAGAACAAAAAATGGATTGGTCATTTCAAAGTTACTTTCCTTGTAAGGTAGGGACAGGGAGTCAGAACAATAGGAAAATAACTGATTAGTTAATTGTAGTTTCTGTAAACTACACATAATGTAAAGTTCAGGAAAAGATCTTGAAGGAACACCCATTTAACTATGTTTATACCTCTGAGGAGAGAAGCAGGATTAGGATGGTCTATACTATCTAATTTTTACAGGAAGAATAACTTGTACATCTGTACAAATGAAAGACAGTAAAAAGTTTAAACATATATATTTTACATGGACACATAACATTTCTAGTAAAACTGCAAAACCATGCACCAGAAGTACACGCATCAATGTATATAGGGCAGTGATTATCTGGGGAGTGGAACAGAGGGAATAAAGATGGAAGATCAGTTATAACTAAGATTTTACTTCATTAAAAAAATCTAAAGTAAATATGGCAAAAATGCTAACATGTCACTAATCCAGGTTACCACATTCCTTTCTTTCCTTCCTTCCTCCCCTTTCCTCCCTTCTCATATGCCTTTCTTTCATTTCTATTTATTTGATTTTTTAAATTTTATCCATTGTTAAAAGACTTACCTACTGGAACCTCTCAATATTAGTATGCTTGCTCCTAGTAAGCTCTTTCTGTTCTAATTTGATGGGAATTTAGAAATCATATCATACAACTATCTTATTAGAACTATTTAATAAAAATACAAAGCCTCTGTGTGAATTCTCTATGTGACTTTACTTGATTGATCTGGAGTTTTTCCTTTCTTTCAGCATGATATCAAGTAATCAGTTAGGTAAAGTTTTTAGTTAACCAAATTCTTCATAGATGAAGTTTTCATGTAGGTTATAAGACACTGAGTAGGAACATTTTTTCCGAGTAAAATATAGAGAGATTAAACCACCTTGAAAATGTTAAAAACAAACACACTGGATTTTACATTTTGATACTGGAAACCCTACCCTAAATACATGGAATATCATTAAGTTTTTTTCTACCGAACTCCAAAGGAAAGGGGATAAACTACCTAAAACATAAATGATGACTTTTCAGCAACTTAAATTAGGAGAATGAAAGTAAATGGAAAGGAACATATCATTTCTCTTAAAGCTGTACATTAAAATTGAAATAATTATTAGTTCATATTATGTGTATATATGGGTGTGTATATGTGTATATATGCACTTATAATACGTACAAAATATTCAATGAGTATTCAATTATTTTTAAGATCCTTAATACTGAAGTTGGCTGCGCAATGAAGTGTGGAATATCAACTATTTTAAAAACTGAATATGGACCATATTTATTAGTTCTTATGGAAATCAGACACCACAGATCATCCCTAATACTATTTTGCTTCAGAAATAGGGTAGAATCACAAGTTTGATATATGTCCTTCCAGGCCTTTTTCTGCACATATGCAACACATATTTATCAATTATGCATATATAACCTACACAGCACGTGTCTGGTTTGCAACATAACAAGCATTAACATCTACCGGCCAAGAAGAATTATCAATTCTGCACCCTCCATGGTCATCCTTCCCTTTTCTAGGGTTTCTTCAGTAACATACTATCATGCAGTTGCTTAAATGCTGCCTTGGAATATCTCTCTAGTTGTTTTATGTGCGTATGACCTGCTTACAGAAGACAAAGAAAGGACCGTGTCTTCTTCTAAGCATTTACTACATTGCAAACTCAGGTGCTCAAAAATTCATGTGAGTTAATATTAAATGATGTGCTGTGTATTATTTAGCAGAAAATTTTTCCAAAACAAACTGCCACAGAAATTGTAAACCTAAGTTATCATTAAAACCACAGGTCTGATTTAAAAGTTGGGATGTTTTAGTCTTTTAAGAAGTGAAGAAAAAAATATTATGGCATAAAAACACTATAATAAAAAAAATTTTTTTTTTCCTTTTTGTCTTTTTTCGTGTCCGGCAACCCTCAGTGTCGCGCCCGGACCGGGACCGGCAACGGGATCGCAACCCTCGGTGTTGC